CAGGGGTGACTGCTTCCCTCAGCCGCCTCGGGCGCGGGACCCAGAGAGCGAGGCGAGGGGCGCTGCGTCCCGCCCGGTGGGCCTGGGGGCTCGGGGGCGCCATGCGGGGACCCCGGGCGGTCCCCTTGCGCACGCGGACGCTGCCCAAGCCGTGCGTGCTGCTTCTCTTGTCCCTGCTGTTGGACCGGATCCGTCCCCAGGGTGAGTCTGCAGCGCGCACGCCGGGGTGCGCGCCCCCCCACGATGAGCCAGCCGCCGGTGCAGTGGCCCCACTTGAGTCCCAGCTCCCGGGCCCTGAAAGGAGCAGAGGAAGGGGAGGCAGCGAAGTCAGAACTCCAGTCGGAGGGTAGGGGTGGTGACAGCAACAGGATGTGGCGGGTATCGCACTACCCCAGTAGAAAGGGGGAGCAGGGAGCCCGGAGGCGGGTGGGGGCGCCCAGTGCTCCCTTCTGGTGGCTCACTTCCATAACGACCCCACAGTTGCCACAAGTCCTGGAGGGTGCAGTGACACCTCCTTTGGGACCTTCCCGCCCCCCTCTCCAGGTAGCCCAGGTCCAATGAGCTGTTACAGAGTTGAGCTCTCTGGGAACTTGAACTGCTCGTGGGAGCCTCTTGGGGACTCAGGAACCCCGTCCACGCTGTACTTCCAGAGTCAGAAGTAGTAAGTGCACAGAGCGGGTTGGGGAAGGAAGTGGGCATTGGAGAGATGGGGAGACGGGGGTGGGGGGTGGGGGGGTGTGTGTCTTCTCAGGCAGAGAGGACCCAGGAGTCCTGGCCCCCAAATCTCAAACTTCAAATCCAGATTCCTTCGCTTCTTTGCTGTGTGACCCAGGCCCTACCAAGGCCCCTCTCTGAGCCTTTGTTTCCTCTCCTAATGAAGATAATCATGAAACCTGCCTCCCAGGTTGATTCTGAGGAGTCAGTGAGTTAAAGCATTTGACAAGGGGGACAGACTTAAACAATCAGAAGCTATTTTTCAGTGCTGTGTGGCATTAGACAAACAGCTTCACCTCTCTGAGTCCCTGGGAAGATGATGTGTTCATCTGGCTGTGCTGTCTCCAGCAGTGAGTAAAGCATGCAGATAGCCTTGACCTCGTGGGACTGCCGGCTCTGCTGGGGACAGAGATTTCCCTTTAAGATGAATCATACCTGGAAATTCAGCATTTCAAATTCTGCTAGGTGAAGGGAGACTGAGGGGGCCCCCTAAAAGGAGGGAATGAGGAATGGGGAGACAGGTTTAACCTGGTGGAAGTTGAGAGGTCAGTTAAAAGACTATTTAAAAATTTCTTTAAGGAGGTGAAATTCACCCAACCAAAAAAAAAAAAAAAAAGAGGAGGTGAAATTCACATACCCTGACACGAATCATTTTAAAGTGCACAGCTCAGCGGCAGTGTTTGCAGCCTCCACCTCTACAAGTTGTAGACTTTGTCATCTTCCCCAGAGGACAGCCACACGCTCCCCGGGCTCCTCCCCTGCCCCTGGTAACCACTAGTCTGGTGTTCCTTCTATCCATGGATACCTGTTCTGGGCTCTTTATATGAATGGGATCATAACACACATTATGTGACCTGTGCCTGGCTTTTTTTCACTCAGCATGTTCTCAAGGTTCAGCCACGTTGTAGCATCTATCAGCATCTTATTCCTTTTTATGGCCAAATAACATTCCATCCCACGAATGCACCGTGTGGTGCTTACCCATACATCTCCACTAATGGACATTTGGGGGGTTTTGACTGCTGTGAATGGCACTGCTGTGAATATCTGTGCATAGTATCTGAACACCTGCTGTCAGTTGTTTGGAGTAGAGACCAAGAAGGATAAGCCGGATGGCAACTCTCTGCTTAACTTCTGAGGACTTGCCCAACTCTTTTCCAAAGCAGTTGTACCATTTTACATTCCTACCTGCAATGTACAAGGTTCTGATTTCTCCACATCCTCACCAACACGTCACTACTTTTTTTTTAATCTGATGAAGGTTTTATTTTAAATCCTTGAAATCTACTTCTACGACTTCCTCATCTCCTCTTTCTCACTTAGAAATGTTCCGTCAACCCACCCAGGCAGCTCTGTATCCAGGTTAGTCAGAAACTGGTTTTTATCCCCTCTTCCCTTGCCCCTAACTAGATTCAGCCCCCATCATCTCTTACCTGGACCACTGTCCTGATTTCAAGATTCCCACTGTCACTTTCCATGGTCTGTTCACCCCCACAGTAACAGAGGGAGCTTGTGAGCCCCTGAGTCTAGACATGTCCCTCTGCTTAGAATCCTCCATAGCTCCAGCTTCACACTGGTCCCACTGCAACTCACAAGTCTCACCCTCATCTCTCCCACCATCCAACTCCCTCCAGTCACTTTAGCGCCCTCACTGTTCCTCAAGTACATCCAGATTGCTGGCCTCAGGGCCTTTGCACTGACTGTTCCCTCTGCCTAGAATGTCCCAAGTACTACGTGACTCCTTGTTCATCTCTTCAGGCATTTGCTTTAATATCTCCTCGTGAATGACTTCTCTGTCTCCTTAAAGCTCTATAAATCAATACTGTAATTCTCCCTATATCATCTTGAGCCTCTACCACTTACCACTAATATGACACCAAAAATATGCTTCCATATTTGTTTCCCATCTATCTTCTCTACTGCAACATCAGCTTCAGAGACCATGACCATGTCTGTTTTGGTCCAGGCTTCCTCCTTAGCTTCTGAAACAGGATCTAACACTAATTTGCTATTTGCTGACAAGTGGTTGAGTGTATGTAAATGCAGATGCTTCCATGTGGCTTGACATTTATCTTACCCCATTTCTGCTTGCTACCTTCTCTCTAATTTTTTTATATGTTAAAAGAGATAGCTCAACACTCTATACTAATCGTATACCATAAACACAGCAATGAAAACCCATTTCAAATTGGAATAATAACCACAGGCATGCTGTTGTTGTGGGGCCACCAGTTGATTATCACCCATAACAACCCTATGAATAACAGACTTGACCTTGGCCCTGTCCTGTGCCATCCTCACCACCTCCAACAGACCTGATTCCACTGTTAGAGTCACCGTATCAGTCCACCTTTGTTGGGGGTCTTCCTATCCTACACTGACCCTCTTCTCCAACACTACAACTCAAAATGCTTTTTTTTGGTCATCCTCAGTAATTGACAAACTTGCAGATGTATAGCAAGTAATTGAAAAAACCATTTGGTCTTGGGTCAGGCACACCTTAGTCTTTAAATTGACATCCTTGCTCTTCACCACTTTGGAGAAATTCCTGAGAACAGATTTTTCTAGTGCAATTTTTCTTTTGATTTTTTGACTGGTACCAAGGCTGCTGATTGTGGGTCCAATTAAGATGAAATTGTTGACAAATTCTATCTTTTCTTCATGTATCATGATGTTGCCTATCTGTGGTGAGGAGTTTTGTTTTCTTGATGTTATTTGATCTGTAGAAAGTGTTTCAAGTCCTTCATACTTTTCAAAAGCAAGATGGTGTCATCTTGAGAGCCTTCCTCCAATCCTGATGCTACATTCTTCTTCATAAAGTCCAGCTTCTTGAATGATTTGTTTGAGACACAGATTTAATCGGTATGGAGAAAGGATGCAGCCTTGACACACACACATTTCTTGATTTTAAAGCCATGTAGTGTTCCCTTGCTCTGTTTGGACAATAGCTACCCTGTGGATGACAGATCTAAGCTTTACCTGATCCTGGGTGGTTCTTATCCTCTCTGCTGTGCTCACCGTGTCAATCTGCCTCCTTGAGTTTCTTCCTCTCCTTTTCTGACATTCTATCATTCCAAACATGATATCCTTTCCCATAGACCTAGCCCGTCCTGACAACATGCCCCAAGTACTCCGGACTTTGCTGTTGTTGTTGTGTGCTGTCGAGTCGGGACTAACCTATAACTGACCATCCAGCAGGTTTTCAGAGGCAGTTAATTGCATGGGAAGAGATTGCCCATCCTACTCCCGTAGAGCAACTGGTGGGTTCAAATTGCATGCTTTCAGGATTGCAGTACAGTTTTTTACCACGCAGCACTCCCTTTTCACAGATTCACATCCTTGCCACAAGCGAGACATCTTCACCCCATTGCATCATCCCCAAAATGTTACATTAACTCCAGGTCCAAGATATCACCTTCTGAATCATCTAAGTTAAAGATGTGTGGGATTTTGTTGTTGTGAGGTGCCATCGAGTGAACTATGACTCATAGTGACCCTGTGAACAGCGGATCTGAACTCTTGCGTCATCCTCACAATCTCTGCCATGCGCAAGCCCATTGTTGCAGTCAGTCCATCCTGCTAAGTGTCTTCCTCTCTTTCTCTGACCCTCCACAATTCCTAGCGTGATATCTTCTTCCAACAACCGGCCCCTCCTCAAAACATGACCAAAGTACGTGAGATGAAGTTTCACTGTCCTTGCTCTGAGCACCTTAGTTGTACTTTCTCTAAGACAGATTTGTTTGTTCTTTTGGCAGTCCGTGGGATATTCAGTATTCTTCTCCAATGCCACAATTCAAAGGCCTTGATTCTTCCACAGACTTTCTTACTCGTTGTTCAACTTTCAGATTAATACAACACAATTAAAAATACGCTGTCTCTTGGATTAGGCACATGGATTGATTTTTAAACTGACATCCTTACTCTTTAGCACTCTGGAGAGGTCCTCGACAGCAGATTTTCCCAGTGTACGGTATCTTTTGATTTTTTTTATCTTATTTATTATTATTAATTTAATGAAAATTTACAGAGACTTTGGATTTCCATTCATTCATTGTTGCACTTTTCGCCCTGCCCACCCCTTCCCC